GTGGCAGAAAGCGATGGAATGGAAAAAACCCTTCAATTAGTGGAATCTTCTAGATTATGTGGAATATTATTCAGTTTGTGCTCGTTTTACCCCATTTTGAAATAAGATGTGTCTATTGGCTAGTACGTAACAGATTGTGGTGCATCAGAAACTGCATGTTTTGCACAAAATGAGTACAAACTAGAGAACATTCCACGAAATCTAGAAGATTATGTTGAATTTGGAACCGTAAGGATTGATGAGTAACAAAATTCATAGTTGAGAGGGGTGAGTGTAATTACTCAAAGATGAAGTTTTTTTTCTTCATAATTTGACTTTATCTCATGAGGTGGCCGTAATTTACTCAATAAATAAATATTCAGTATCTATAATGTTTCGAGTAAATTATAGTTGCAATGGAAGATATTAACTATTTTTGTATGTTTTGATGCTTTCACTTATAAGTTTTGGTTTCGATTATATGAGCAAGATTTATTGTGGGCTCGGTTTATTTGTCGTAAGTATTGCATAGGCATGTTCCCTAGCAAACTTCCAGCGCCTTCTTCACGTGTTAGCTCACTATAGAAGTGGATTTGCAGAGTTTGAGATGTTCGATTTCAGATTTCCTATAAATTTGACAATGCTAATACTATTGTTTGTCTTTCTCAAAAAAAAAAAAAAATACTATTGTTTGCCATGATCATTGGACTAGCGCCGTGATCAGTCATGTCTCGATTGAGTATTATCGGTATGTTGATACATGGAATCGGCACAAGTTTATTAAGATTGTTCAACTATAAATGATTGCACTGGCAGAGCCAACATAGGTCAAGCGGGGTCATGCCCCCTTACCATCCAATTTCTATTTACAAACAAAGACTTATAATGGTAAAATTGAGAAAAAAGACAAATAATTTGTGGAAAGGAGTAAATAAAAGAAAAGAGACAAATAATTTAAATGAAATGAGCAAGGGCAGAACCGTAATCGTGAAATTCTAATAAATCTAAATCGACGAGACTATTTACAAAATCCCCAAAACACCCTCAAACCGGCTATCCCCAAATCTGATTACGAGCCTCTCTTCTTCCCCACCAATAATTCCGACCACCATATAATTTCAGAAAATTTTCCCCTCAAATTGAACCTAAAAAAAAACCCTAACGAACTTTCCCTCCTCCTCCTCCTCTCCTTCCCTCTCTCGAAAATCCGGCTCGCCCAATTCCGCCCGTTGTATCTCCGATCCCGACGCGTCGGCGCCAATCAAAATGTCAGAAACGCCGGAAAAAACCCCGAACCCGAACCCGCTAATCTCTCCGACGAGCTCACGCTCCGTAACCGAGACCGTGAACGGGTCGCACCGTTTCGTGATCCAGGGGTACTCGCTGGCTAAAGGCATGGGCATCGGCAAGCACATAGCCAGCGACGATTTCACCGTCGGAGGGTATAAATGGGCGATATACTTTTATCCAGATGGCAAAAATCCGGAGGATAATTCGACTTACGTTTCGGTTTTCATCGCGTTGGCGAGCGAGGGTACGGATGTTCGGGCATTGTTCGAGTTGACTCTTGTTGACCAGAGCGGGAAAGGGAAGCATAAAGTGCATAGCCATTTCGATAGGTCGCTTGAGAGTGGGCCGTACACGCTTAAATACCGTGGCAGTATGTGGTAAATGCTTCTGTATCTTGTTATATTCGTGTAAATGTATCGTTTATTGGATTGCAGAGGGCTTTGTGTGCATTTTTTTACCATGCTTATTGGCTATAATTGGATGTTTGATGTTTATGTATGCTGAATATTGATATATGTGATTTGGGATTAAGGAGTACTGGGCTTCTACAGCTCTAGGGCCAATGCATTCCACCTTGCGAACGACAATTTCTTTAGTTGATTCAGCTTGGGAAATATTTTATTGTGCTTACATTCAAAATTAGAAGAGAATTAGGGTTATCTTTGCTCTGTTCTTTAGTGCATATAAGAGATAAGCTTCGTGCTGTCCTCCGTGACAGTGACATTTTTATTTGGCATTTATGAATATCGTGTGATGAGTTTTGGTTAGAAATTACCCTTTTATTGAATTTTAAGTATGTTGTTTTCCAGTACTTAAGGGTATGTTTTATGCTGAATTGAGACGGCAGGTGTAGTTCTAGATGAATTAAGTTCAAGGATCTGTCACGACTTTGTAAAATGACTGTCGTTATTGTACTTTTAAATGAAGATCGACTGACATACCTTCCCTTTGACTGTCGTTATATTAATATGGATTAAATATTGAGTCACATGCGAATTTAGTAACTTAGCGAAAATAGGTTCATGAGTTTGGCAATTAGGCTGATGTTTGTGTAAGTTGCTGTATTTTAGTCATTGTGCATATAATATATTAATATTGAGATCGAGTTTCTAAATCTTGTTATAAAAGAAGTAGGAATAGAAACAGTACTAGCCCCATTAACAATGACCAGACCAACTACATATTTTCTCGACATTGTTGAGTTATGTGCAGCAACATGGGGCAATGCTATCAATATCATGTCTTTTCACAACCAACTTACTCAATGTAAACATTTTAGTGGGCCAGGCGCTGGTCGATCCTGTTTGATGCTTCATTGTTACACTGGTCAAACATGAAATTTTATACTTCCAGCCTAGAAAATAAGTCTAATTATGTTTTCGTTTACCCCTTTTTGTGTTGGTTTTGTAAGTTGCTTATTATTATACATCTGCTATCAATATTGTTATCTAGGATAGTCCACTATCAGTTCAAGTTGTATGAAAAAATCCCAGCATAACATGTATGGTTTTGATAATATTGATATGTCTGTGAATTTTAGCCTAGCATTTTTAATATTATCTTCCCAATTTTTGCTGATTATTTTCACATATTTATGTTGCATATACATGATACATCTGTTATTTCTTCCACTTATGGAGGATTGGAGAGATCTGGGAGCATACAGTTATAATGGTGGATATTATCTGCTTACTAAGGATTTGGGAGAATTAGGGTTTTAATTTCATGAAGCTTCTATTTTATGCTGCAAGAAAAGCTGAAAAACCAGTGTAGTTACTTCTGATAGGAAAGTTGCGTAAAATGTTTATAGGATGACTGACTTGGATGAAAACTCCAGGGATTCTGAGTATACGCTTAAACCAACTTTTGGTGGAGTTCTGATTTTATAGCGCATGAAAGTAAAATGATTTGTTTACATGTATTTGCTTATCTACAACTCTGTCAAATACCGTTAAAAGTTTAAGAAAAGTCTACTTCGGTTGTTCTGACAAAACCTAAATTTTATTTTATGCCTTTTCTTATAAACCTACAGGGGATACAAGCGTTTTTTCAGGAGAGCCATGCTTGAAACTTCAGATTATCTTAAAGATGATTGTTTGAAGATCAACTGTACTGTTGGAGTTGTGGTTTCTGCAATTGATTGCTCAAGGTTGCATTCAATTCAGGTTCCAGATTCTGATATTGGGGCAGATTTTGGTACGCTGCTGGAAAATATGGATGGTGCTGATATTAGTTTTGATGTCGCTGGAGAGAAATTCCAAGCCCACAAGTTGGTATTGGCTGCCCGTTCGCCCATATTTCGGTCAGAATTTTTTGATGTAATGGATAGTGATGAGCAGGAGATTGTGGTATCGGACATGGAACCTAAAGTTTTTAAGGTTGGTAGGCTTCATGGTTATGATTGGCTTTTAGTTTTCTGAGAAATCGATGCCTCTTTAAATTGCATTATTCTTGGTTAATTTCGAAGTATGCAAAATCACCCTTATAGATTGAAAAAAATGAATAATTTTCTCTTTTCTCTGATTGGAGCAGCATATTGAAGTTACTTTTTTTTGTGTGACAGGCAATGCTGCACTTCATTTACAGAGACGCCTTAGTTGAAGATGAGCTTATAGCATCCAGCTCTTGTTCATCTCCTTTGATAACCGACACATTAACTGCAAAATTGTTGGCAGCAGCTGATCGATATGATTTAGGAAGACTAAGACGGATGTGTGAATCTCATCTCTGCAAGGACATATCTGTAAATTCTGTTGCACATACACTTGCTTTGGCAGATCGTTTTCATGCAGCAGAATTGAAAGCTATCTGCCTTAGATTTGCTGCTGAAAACTTGGCAGGTACATGACTTCTTTCCTTCTTGAGTCCTTTCTGTTTTTTGCATCTTTCGGACCATCGAAGATAAGGGACTGACCACTATTTTGTCAGAGCTGATGTTCTTGTAGATGCATTTTGTTTCTCCTGCTCATAATATGTCAGCGTGTTTGTGTAGGAGAATAAGATTTTTCGGAGATCCGTGAAAATTGAGAGAAGGCTTGGTATTGACATTTGAAAAATGAATATTTGTAATGCATACGATAAGATTATTATTTCACGTGTTTCGTTTCTCAAATCATAAATTGAGCATGTAATTAAGTTATTCGCCAATGTAGATGATACGGTTTACTTAGCTTTATTCTGTGATATGAAAAAACTTGTACAAATTGCTTGCTTTGTTTAGCTATGACATTGCAGCTTATTTATGTTGCTTTCTCTATCTAGTTTTTTTTTCCCTTTTCCTGAGATGGTTCAAAACATGCTTGTTCTATATAAATCTTATGTGACATCTTTGTGTTGGGAATTCGTTTACAGCTGTTATGCGCTCCGATGGCTTCGAATATCTGAAAGAAAATTGCCCAGCTCTACAATCCGAGCTTTTGAAGACTGTAGCTGGCTGCGAGGAGGATTGCAGCAGTGGTGGCGGCAAGTCACGGAGCGTGTGGGCCCAGCTCTCGGACGGTGGTGACACCACCGGCAGGAGGGTAAGGCAACGGACTTGATATTGGATATGTAGGCTACGGTATATGCTTGTTGTTCTCTTCCGTGCAACCACCACAATCATGTAATTCAGTACACCCAGGGAATTTGTTGCAAGGGATGTGTGTTTGATAATTTTAATTTTTTTTTTCTTCGACAGATGACATTTGATTATAGCGTTGAACCACAAAAATGCTAACTTGTTAGGTTCGTTGTTGTGTACGTCTTGTGACCAAACCGTATTTCTCTGTACGACCAATTATATATTGAATTCGTCCTCTGCAGTTTTCTCTGAGATAGGGATTTGCTTTTATCTTTGCTGTAATCAAAATGATGACAGATAATGCAAACATTACAAAATTGAAGCATGCTTTTCTCTCATTACATACACAAAATTATGCAAAAAATAATATAAATATACCAACATAGTACCAGCCATGGAAAAGAAAAGGTGTTCAAATGCATGTAAGTTCGATGTTTCGTGTACCGATATAAAAACGGGATTAATTGAAGTATTAAACAGTGTAATCATGACCAAAGAAAATTTCCCACAGCATCTTCGGTCAACAAAACATCCTCGATGAAGTCTTGTCTAGGGTCAATATAGTCCGAGTCGAGCAAAAAATCAGGCCTGTTGAAGTTCATCTGCTTTGTCGTCTCAAACCCCCCTTTAACTTCACATCCTTCAACCAACCAACATATGCATTATTATTATTATTACATTATCATAAAGCAATAAATAAGGGGAAAGAAACGAAATCACATAAAATAAACGGACCTGTTATATTCTCTAAATATTCGGGTTCGTCGAACGAAGTCCCACTGGTGGGAGTACTGCCCTCACTGAACAATGACGGAGAAGAATAATCACAATATGCTGTCTCGTGGAAATCTTGATTCTTCGAGTTTTTCATAATTCGTGATTCGTAAAGTACTGCATCCAATAAGCCACTGTTCCGATTTTCAGGCAAAATATCACACAATAGAGTTTGTGTATCAACAGATTCGAGGGGAGGCAAAGTGGGAGAGGGGGGTGGGCCCCACATAGCACCACCTACATGAGTTTGGAGTGAAGGGAGTTCCATCTTCATCATCGGCCAATCAGAAGGCTCCGATGAAGAAGAAGAAGAAGAACAAGAAGAACAAGATTGTATAAAAGATTGAGCAATCTGCAAACAATTATCGGTTTGAAAATGGCTCCCAATATCAGCACTTAAATAATCGGGGAAAAAAGATCCGGCCCCACAAAGGCGTTTGGCGGGAACATTATGATCAAGAAGTGGCGGCGGTGGATACAAGTGGTGGTGGTGATTCATTTCAGGGTTTTTGAACTCAACTGTCGGAATATTATAGAAGTTGTTCAGGAGTGTGAGGTTCGGGTAATGTGAATCGATGGAGGACAAAATAGTCATTTCATCGCTAATTTGTTCGTTCCTGTTCTCGTTTGGTGATTGTAGAGTGCAGATATCCGGTGGATAGACCGGTAAGCCAGCACGATGTTTTCTCTTGATTCTCGTGTTCCAATAGTTTTTAATCTCATTATCCGTTCGGCCGGGCAACTATAAGTAATAGGAGTAAAAAAAAATGGTCATAAATATAGAATAATCGAACATGTGTACATATAAAGATGAAAACTCGCAAACAAACAACGAAGTGGCGAAATGAAACGTAGTTTCTCACCTCGGCAGCCATTCGAGCCCACTTGTTTCCCATTTTGGAATGAAGTTCGACAATAAGATGCTCCTCTTCTGGACTAAAAGCGCCTTTTTTAAGATTTGGTCTAAGATGATTCGCCCACCTCAAACGGCAACTCTTCCCACAACGAGCAAGCCCCGAGTTTTTCTGAACCGCATTCCAATTCCCTTCTCCGTACTTGCTTACGTATTCCACTAAAATCGCATCCTCAGCGGAAGTCCACGGACCCTTTTTCAGCGGATTATTCCCTCCGTCGTTAGCATCGTCAGCAGCTGCCATAATCTTCTCATCGCTCTCACTCGTCATATTCGTTCCCTGATTTTTTTACAACAGATAATAGAAACTGTTATTCAATTCGTAAGTCATAAAGTGGACTAATTTGCGGAATCCGAAGCAGAAAAAAAAATACTCGTCGAAGATTCTTACTTTATTCGATCATAAATGCCGAATTTCGAACGATCGATACTACGAGAATGGTTCCTAGTACAGCAAGCATACATCAAGATTTGACAAACAAGTGTACACAAACAACATGATCTAAAATTAACAGTAGATGTAGTAACTTCAATAAGCATTAACTCAAATAAAGAGAAGCAATATTTTTAATTAAAAAAAAATAAAAATAAATATATAAATCAGTAAAATAATTTATTACCTCAACGCACTTATGCTGCAGCAGAATGATCAGTCCTCAACAGCTTGTGGTGATGGTATCAACATCCCAGATTTCTCTCTCCTCTTGTATATTAATTTATTATTTATTTATAATAATTTAACTAGAACAATTAGGATTTTTAATTATCTGATATTGTTCATTAAAGAGTGTTGTGATTATTAATTAAGAAGCTAATGATGTAATCAGGGATTCCTTAAAATTGTATTTAGAATGAAAATTATTTGATTATCAAAAAAAAAAATAAAAAAATTATTTGGTTTAAATGAAGTTAGATACATATGTAGCTTTTTTAACTAGTCCTCATACATAATTAGCAATTTTTATTTATTTTTTCGGTTGTCAAAAAATCGGAAATTAAAAATAAATAAATACGTTCGAAATTTGATTTTTTTTCTCGGATCAAAATTAGCGAAAAAAAAAAATTATGTTTTTTTTATTTATCTACGATAAATGCATGATAATATTGATATTATAAATACAACTTTCGGAATTTTTTGAATTGTTTTTAGAAATTAAAATGGGACCATATGTATTCCAATTTTGATTAAAAAAACAATATATTAATTTTTAAAATCCAAATGATACAACAAAAATAATAATAAATATATTTTTTTCTAGTTGGGCATCTATAATTGGAAACTGCAATTAGTACAAGCTTTGAATTTTTCTTTCTATTTGAATACAATTTTATATTTATTAGTTTATTGTACCTTATTGCAGGTTGCTACAGTTATATCTTTTTGCCCGGGGTCCAGCCAAACTGAATTTCACTAAATTATCAAGTACATACATAATTTACTTCCATATTGTCCTTTTTTTATAATTGAAAATACATATGAAAAAAAATATTAACATCAATTTTTATTTATTTATTGAAATGCCCATTCCATCAATTATTTGTTCCATAAAACCAGCAGCAATTTGACTAAATTACGGTAACTCTTTGAACTTCTTAGAATAAAAAAAATTTAATTAATTATTTCTTTAGTATTTTATTTTTCTTTCAAGTTGTCCAAATTGATTTGTATGAATGATTGGTTTAGTTTGAATAACATCAATTTTTGGAGCAATATATTTCTTGAATTTTTAGCTAATGTAAGTAGGGTTGTGCGTTGGTTGGTTTGGTTAAAAATCAGTCATAAAACCAACCCAACCCAACCCATCGAACCAACTTTGGTAAATATTGGAAACCGTTATCGATCCAATTTACATGGGTTGGGTGATGGTTGAAAACCAATTTAATGGGTTGGTTGGTGGTTTGGTTGATGGGTTATCCATCTAAATATTTTTAATTTTTTTTTTAATATTTTATTACTTGTTACAACGATATATCTTTTATAAATTAAATGCAACTAGCTCAACGATATTCAAATAAAAGATTCAAAACATTACGGTCATATATATTGCAATTAAACATAAATAGTTCAACAAATAATAATCGTCCAAATATTTAGACTAAATGTCTTAAAATTAAAATAGTTCAAATTAGATAATTAGTTAGATTTATTGCTTTTAGGATTTTGGTCAATATTAGACAATTTAATAAATGTGATATAAAATAGAAATTTGAAATTAAAAGTATTAAATATTTTAATTAAAATTAATAACTAATAAATTAATAAATAAAGTTGGTTGGCCGATATTAACCAACTAACCAACTTTTTAGCATATTAGAAACCATTATCGATCCAACTATACATGGGTTGGTTAACATTATCGACTCAACTTAAATGAGTCGGTTGATGGTTGATTAACCATCACAAATTGTGGGTCGAAAATGGGTTGGTTGGTGGTTAAAACCGATCCATACACAGCCCTAAATGTAAGTTCCATCAGAGGCAATCTAAAGATTAAAATTTGAAATTAAATCAAATAAATCAACTCAACCAAAATATATGAATAATTTAAAAAATAAGTAATTTAACTAATAAAGTGTCCATTGGGTTCTTGGCCCAACAAGATTCAAACCTACAATTTAAATAAGACCCAAAGGCCCAATTAAGGTGTGTGTATAATTTTTCGCGGAATTTGGCGGGGTGGGCCCGGGGAGTACCCGGTTAATGTTCACGGAGACGGGGATAGGATACTCGACAAAAAAAATTATGGGAATACGGATGGGGATTTTGAAACGGGGCGGGGACGGGGATTGCAAAAGAAGTCGTCATTACAACTATAAATCTTTGATATATGTAATTATGTGGAACTTAAGGGACTACGAATGAGAATTAAAATCGAAAGGGCTATATCGGAATTTTTATTTTTGAATTTTTTCAAAAGTGAAAAAATAAATTATATATTTTTTTGGAAAGCAAAAAACTAATTCCAGTTTTATTTCAAAATATTTCAGAAAAAAAAATAAAAAATCGATATTTTGAAAATCGAAAATTTTAGGACGATAATACTGATTATAAGTATAATTTTGGGAAAATAAATAATTGAATTTCTATGATTATTTTGAAAATTAAAATCGGAGTCACATAAGTGAATATTCCAAATTAGATACAAAGAAAAAGAAAAAAAAAATCGAAATTGGAAGTTCAGATTTTTTTTGGAATTTGAAATAAAAAATATTATTTCCAAAAACAAAAAACTTTTCGAATTGAAACCAACATAAAAATTATTCTAAATTTACACATCTTTGTATTAACAAATGAATGAATAAAAGAAACCCTAATAAAATCCAGTACTAGGCATGGAGTATAGAGATTTGCCCTAATTTTATCACTCTTTCAACTCTCCGGAAATTGTAAAAACAAATAACTGAGAAAGTAAAATAAAAACAGGTTCGTGTTTAAGTTCTGATTTTTCTTCTCATACGCAGATTTTCAAACAATCATTTGGATTTGCTCTTCGTGATTTTAGTATGATTTTTTGAATTTTGTATCTTTTTTGTTTTTGTATTAATTGGGATTTCTTATTTCTTCGTTATTGTTTAAGTGATTGCTGTTGTTTTATACTTCCATGGAGCTTGAGTGATTAGGCTAGTGATTGAATTTAGACTGTTACTAGGGTTTTGGATTTTCCCCAATTTTGGTTCAGTCTATTTTGGAATTATATCATTTTGTGATAATTCAGAAGTTCTCTTATGTAGGGTCGATTTTTGAGTGTGAATATCTCAATCAAATTCAGAATTTATGGCATTTGGATGCCAACATGCTGCTGCTGTGAAAGACATTTCTACGAATTTCGACCCAGATCAAGTTATCTCGATTGAAAACGCGAAAACCGAATCCTTGGGGGCTGAAAGTCAGCACAGTCTACCAATATCAAATTTGAAAATTGGGTTACCTTCCATTGAAGCTTCTCAAGATCACAGGCTGTGTTTTGCTGATCTTCCTCCAGCATTAATCTCCGAAATTCTCAATTTCCTCGACTCGAAAGGGCTCGGTATTGTGTCCTGTGTCAGTACGTCGTTGTATAAGCTCGTCTCTGAGCACTACGCGTGGAAGGACTTGTATCAGGAGAGGTGGGGCCATCCTACAACTGCAGTCAATTTCGGGCCAGGTTATTCGAATGAAAACTCATGGAAGAAACTTTTTGTGGATAGAGAGTTTCGGAGCAAGGTATTTATGGGGCGTTACACCATGGACACACTGTACGGTCACAGAGAAGCTATCAGGACTGTATTCGTACTAGTTTCTAAAAAGCTCGTTTTCACATCTGGATATGATCAGGTTGTAAGAATGTGGGACATGGAAGAAGGTCTCTCAATTGCTTCGTCTCGACCCCTCGGTTGCACTATTCGTGCAATTGCAGCCGATACGAAGCTCTTAATTGCTGGAGGTACTAATGGGCTTATACATGGTTGGGAGGTAGTTGATGGGAACCCTCACTTGTTTGACCTAAGACCGCCTCAAAATCAAGAAACGCGTTTTCAAAATTTCAGGCACGAGGGTCCTATAACTTGTCTTGCATTGGATTTTACCATGATTTATAGTGGCTCTTGGGACATGACTGTACGTGTTTGGGGTCGTTCTTGTCTGAAATGTTTGAAGGTTCTTGTGCATAACGACTGGGTTTGGAGCGTGGTCCCTCATGATACCACAATTTGGAGTACAGCTGGTTCGGGTGTTTACATCTGGGATACTAATCACGGAACTCAGCTTGGCGTTATCAATAGTGCTCACTTCGGCAATACGTATTCTTTGGCACGAAGCCACACGGGGAAGCTTTTGTTTACCGGAGGAGAAGATGGTTCTATACACATGTTTGAGGTCACTAGAAATGTTATTAAGTGCAATGCACGGAGAATCGCTAGTTGGAGTCCTCACACGGGGCCCGTTTACTCTCTTGCGTTTGAGTTCCCTTGGCTGGTTTCAGCTTCCAGTGATGGAAAGATTTCGCTTATTGATGTCAGAAAGCTGTTGAAGAAAACCGGCCGTTCTTCGAAAGATAATACTTTTGGGGCTAAGCACTTGAAGAATCAAAAGAATGTTGAACCTCCACAGAGAATGCTGCATGGATTCGGGAGCAATTTGTTCTCGGTGGGCATTGGTGCTGATCGGATTGTTTGTGGAGGTGAAGATGGTGTTGTTAGGATTTGGAACTTCTCACAAGCTCTGGAGAAGGAGGAGAGGGCCCGGAATTTGAAGGGTATTAGGCTCGAAAACCGAATGAGGCGTAACAAGATCCAAGTAGAAATGGGTGGTAAAGGTAGTCAAGGTGAGCAGTGTTCGGTTGCTGCAAAGAAGAACCAGATAAACAGCAATAGGAGCGGTTGGCATAACAAGCGTAGAGTAAGTTGGAAGGTGAAAGCATAGTCTTGGATCTATTTTCCGAGTATTTTTAGACCCTGTCATTTTAGTATTAATTGGCTAGGTATGCATGAAAGAATAGCCGGATTAGCTTTTTGAAGTTTTCATGTTGATGATTACATGAATGCTTAACTTCTATACAAAAAAAATCGATTGTTAGTTGGCTTACATTACATATTTCTTTTCTTTCTGTTATTCTTTTAACAGCCTTTCTTTTAACAGCCCCTCTGTATTCTTTTACCCGTAGCTGAAGGTTTAGCAAGTATTTTAGTGGCTTGATTTTTGCATGATTTGGATCAAGGTAGATTCGGTGCATATTCTCTTTCTCGGAAGTTGCATTCGAATGAAGGAATTTTAATTTGAGGGGTGGAGTTGGGAATGATATCGTATAAGTTATCAACAGGCATGAGATAATTCCGCTTTCACAATCCCAGTTTACAAATAAATATAAATTCCACGATCTTCTCGTTTTTGATTGACTATGATATTGTAAATATGGTCAATCCTAATAGGATAAGCATGTCCTAGCAACTTAAGAATCATACATTTAGAGTGATTCTTTCCCTCTTTAACTTGGTTATCTGCACATGAACTGAACTTCACCTACAAAGATTTAGCAAAGATAATATGGTAATATGCACATTATTTAATTAAGTTGTGTAGCTTGACATCTTTGATTATCTATAAAGAGCAAGAAAATTCATGCTGAATATTCTTCGAAATTTGCTCCCCCCCTCCTATGATGGATCACTGGGTTCAAGAACTCGGTTTTCCTCAACTAGATATTCCTATAACAATTGACAACATAAATCCGATCTTGTCTAATTGTCACTTCACATCACACAATCAAGATAGCCTCTACCTCTCTAATCTCGATGACATGATTGGTGTGCGCGTTTTCACTCCAACAGTGTATTTTTACCGATCAAAAGGTTTGATATCACAAGACGAAAACGTTGGTCAAATACTGAAAGATGCTCTCATGAGGGTCTTAGTACCTTATTACCCTTTCACAGGTAGACTAAGAGAGACAGAAAACGGGAAACTCGAGGTTTTCTTTGGGCCAGATCAAGGTGCTCTAATGGTCGAGGCGCATTCTGATCTGGCGTTAGCAGATCTCGGAGATCTAACGGTCCCAAATCCTGCCTGGATAAAGCTGATCTACAGATTCCCCGATGAAGAGCAGTACAAAGTTGTTGACATGCCATTGGTGATTGCCCAAGTGACCAAATTCACATGTGGTGGTTTTTGCCTCGGCCTGAGAATCTGCCATTGTTTGTGCGACGGCCTTGGAGCAATGCAGTTTCTCAGCGCATGGGCAGAAACGGCAAAAACGGGCTCATTGGTTGCGAATCCAAACCCTTGCTGGGATCGAGAAATCTTTCTGCCACGTGGACCCCACAGGATCGAATTCTCCCACACAGAGTTCCAGACAATCGAAGAGGGCTCGAACCTCATTACGCGGTTATGGCAAGGCAACCCCATTCAGAAGTGCTACCGTTTAAGCAAAGAGTACCAAGCCCGTTTGAAGATATTGGCTCAAGAAGAAGATGGAGAGTTTTCAAACACGACTTTCGATGCAATGGCGGCTCATGTGTGGAGATCGTGGGTGAAAGCATTGGATATTGAACCTCTCGATTACGAGCTTCGCCTCACTTTTTCGGTAAATGCTCGCGCCAAAATCAAGAATCCACCTCTGAGAGATGGGTTCTATGGGAATTGCTTGTGCGTGGCTTGTGCCACGAGCACCATCGAGAGGCTTGTCGGCGGAACCCTAGCGGAGATAGCCCGTTTGGTGCACGGGGCCCGTTTGGGTGTATCGGAGGAGTATTTGAGATCCACAATTGATTACATCGATGTGGTTAGGCCTAAGAGGCTTGAGTTTGGTGGGAAATGACAA